GCCCACTTACATTGCTTGGCTCCATCAGAGTGCCCCTTTAGAATGTTTAACCCCATCACTGCCTCGCATTGCGGCCGCCTCTGGTAGTTTGATTCATGCTTTTGTACTGGTACATGCTGAACAAATCGGAACATGTAAATCCTGCTTTTTAGCAATTTTCATCATTTTAAAAGAGAAATAACTGTTACACTTTGCTATAGAGGTGCTTTGTAATATTGTTATCGGGTGGTTTGGCAGAGTAAACTATGATCCTGTCAGGAGGATTGTAGATTATCACAAAGGATGGCATTGTGCAGCTCAGAATACATTCCCCACATTGCTTTCTCTACTGATCACCATGACCACTTATCTCAGCCTTTCACAGCTGTTTCGTGTGATAAGTTTTCTTTTCGCAGGTTATTAAACAGCCTCTGTGCAGCCGAGAAAAACAAAGAGATCTGCAGAGTAAAGTTAACTCGTGATAAAGCTAGTTTTATCACGGTTTATTAAACGTACACCCTTGACTGTTTGCCAAACTGCTTAAAAATTACTCTTGTCTTGAACTATGGAGAGATAAGACATTGATACCAGATATGCAAAGATAAGCTATTAATACTAAATATGCAGAGATAAGACATTGATACCAGATATGCAGAGATAAGACATTGATACCAGATATGCAGAGATAAGACATTGATACCAGCTATGCAGAGTTAAACTATCATATCAAATATTTTTTGTTTTTTCATTTTCAGAAACTGGGTATAAATTTCACCACCAGTAACAAGGAGACAGTGAAAAATAGCGATGTCCTTTTCCTGGCTGTAAAACCTCCCATCATTCCCTTTGTGCTGGATGAGATTGGCTCCGACATTGAGGATCGTCACATGGTGGTGTCCTGTGCTGCAGGTGTCACTATCGGCTCGATAGAGAAGGTAAAGCAGCTTTGACTTGTTTGTAAAGAGGAAATCACTGTGGGACTCTTCTGTTGTCTATAGCAGCCTATGGCACTGACAAACCGATCCTAAACAGAGTCCAAGTTCTAGAAAAGTAGACAGAGCAATGACCAGGATAAACATGTACAAGCATATGGACAAATGCAGCCCAGACACCACATAGGCGTAATCCAGGGCATGGACAATCAGACAGAAGGAATACAA